ATCAGACCGCAATCTTGCTGATTTCACATCTTCACTGACAGTGAATATAATACAAAACACATCTGAGACCTTTAAGGTTCCGTCTGCGACACGAGGGCGAGACTTCCATACGCTATTTACGGGTCCAGCAATCCGCCTTGAGATTATTGGGCTTCTCTGCGCTCTCGCTGGTCGAGCAAGATATCTGGGTCTTGCTAGTGACAGGTGCGATGAGGACCGAACCTCACGGTCTCAATATGCCCATAAGATGTTTGCAGCCAGCGAGGCTGCACTGCACATTTGCAAAATTCTTACGCCACTGAATGACCTGACAATATGGCTGGTACATGAGATTCTCCTATTGTCATATGTAGTACATGGCGACTCAAGTTCGTGTCCACTCGATCCATCCGCCACCTTACCTTTCCTAACACTTTCTAGGCCCCGCCTGTTGGAAGCGACTGGGCGAGCTTTCCACTGACATCTTCGCACTTGGCCTCCACCGTGACTCCAAGGCCTCGAGCGATGTACCCGAGTTTCTCTTGGAGTCACGTAGACGGCAATTCGCTGCAGCCTATCAGCTTGACAAGAGCATCGCCACATTCTTAGGTCGACCGCCAAGAATACCATGGCGATACGCCGATTGTCGCATGCCTCTTGATATCAGCGATGAGGCACTCGCTACCGATAATATAGTCTTAAATTACTCTCACGACTACCTCGATGAGAATGGTTGGAATACTCACGGAGTAGTCCAGCGTTCATCATGGATACGAGTGCGGTTTATCATCAGTACATTTCGGGATGAGATTCTCGAGGTCTCCTTGCAGAATGTGACACCCGAGATGGAAAATATGCTCAAGTACGTCGTCATTTACTTTTCAATTTATGTTCAGCAGCTGATACCATACAGGAATATCTCGCAGCGATGTCATCTAGCATGGGATTCGCTCCCCAATTGGCTACGCTACAGCCCACAATGCTGGGATCAAAATTTACATATAGCAGTGTGCCTCATGATGAACATTTCATATCTGGCATACCTGTATAATGACTTCCTCATTCAACGACTCATTGCCGGGAAGAACAACCCGCGCGGAAACACGGCATTGCTCTCCGTGAGCGTTGACATACTATCAACGGTCCTCAAATTAGGCACGCAACGCGAACAAACGGTCGATCTCCGGCCAGAATTTGCGTGGACGGTACGTACTATAAGGAAATTCTTCTTGTAGACATTGTAATACTAATTGAATGTCAGGTCCTGCTCTACGGCTTCCCTAGCGCCAGTCTACTCATCAAAGCCCTGCAACACCAAAAACGCACAGGCGAGGCATTCCTCTACGAAGGGTCGAGATCGGCACTTATCCGCAATTTGAGCGTCTTCATTTCGCACCTCGAATCTATCGTTCGGCCAGATAATGCCAACTATGCTCTGTTTCAACGGGCTAGTCAGCTGTTCTCTAGGATTATTGATGAGATTCTGGAGCCGCATTCAATTCTTCCCGACTCAAATCTTGCAGATACTTCTGCTTTTGACTTTGATCCGATGATGGAGGTTGATGGCCTGGATTTGTTCAATAACATGGATTTTGGGGTTGCATTTAATCAGTGGTTGCTCTAGGGGGGTTGCTGTGTTGTAGTAGTTTCATGTATATAATTGGGCAGAAGGACTTTGCGGAATCAAACCGTAGGCCTGCCTCGTCAATTTGCCTCCGTCGAGGGGGTACCCATCAACTTTATGGGTATGGTTGAATCCACTAGATTAAATACAACAAAACAGGTACCTAGGCTATGCTATCAATGATCCCGTGATATACATCGCATCACTTCATAAGAGATGCGTATGAAATGATGTAGTCAGCTCCTATCGGCCTTGCTCAATGCCAGTGGCAGTAGTGTGTAGCAAGTCCGCCCAATGTTGCACCAAAATATATACTCTTGGAAGATTTGCGCTTCCTGACTTTGTCTTCCCATTCACGAGAAAAGCCCGTTCCTGTTCCTGTCAACCCGCAGAACTGCAGCTAGAGTTTAAGTTGCTTAGGCAATGGTGGTTATGACGATAGTCGGGTGAATGATATCCTCTGCGCGTTTCAACTTCGCGTCGTTTCAAATGTTGTTACATTGGCATTATTGCTAAACTCTCGAGGTCTGCATGGACTGAGCAGAAAACTGATTCCATGGCAAGATGAAGAAGATGCGAGAGAATCCGAATGCATAAAATATTGATAGGTGCTGAAAAACGACCCACAGCATGAATTCATGGTGACATGAAAAGAAGAGAAGACAATCTACAGACAGGTCGAAATGAAAAAGACATGGTGTTTTTTTGAATAGCAATTGACTTCCTCGAGTTGAAGCCAGCCGCCTCTTTTAGCATATCTGGCAAATGCAGACCAGGAGAAGTGAAATGGACTGCAGGGGCAGCCATGCGCGCAAATAGGTATCTAATTTCCCTCACCCCCTTGGCCCGCGGAAAAAAGAAGAGATTTCGTCACTCTTCGAAGCATGGAACGTGAAATGATTCGTTCAATTCAGAAAGTCGGGACTGAAAGAAGGGATCAATGTATCATGTACGACATCGATGCCGACATTTCGTACATTTAGTTGCTCTTGACAAAGTCGGCCTGAGCTCGGGTGTTCTTGATCGTTTTCTTAATCATATCCTCCACTTCGTCCCAGTCGCTGGTATCAATACGGTCGATAACGCACTGGAAGTGCTCTTGGATCTTGCGAAGCATCTCCCACTCATTGCGGTTGGAAACGAATGAGATTGCAACGCCAATGCGACCAAAGCGACCAGTACGACCAATGCGGTGCAGATAGGTCTGGAAGTCGGGTGTGTTGGTGCGCTGACCGGAAGAATATTCCTCGGGGATATCCTGAAGGCGGCAAAGGTTAGTTTTGAAAGCGAAAGCGGATAAGCAATGGACTCACGTAGTTTACGACCAAGGAAACTGTAGACACATCGATTCCACGAGCCAAAACGTTGGTCGTGATAAGAACCTTAGCTTCACCGCTGCGGAAGGAATCAATCACCGCGTCACGCTGGGATCCCTCAACACCACCAGTCAGCGAGGCGACAGTGTGGCCCTCAGCAACCATACGCTTCTCGATCTCAATGGCGGAGGCACGGGTCTATATGGAGATCAGCAATATTCCAATCTTACTCCAAGATGGTACTTACCCGGACGAAAATAATTGAGGACCCGACAGTGAGAAGTCCATAGAGCTGGACGAGGTTTTGATACTTCTCCTCATCAGTGCTGCAATCCATGTAGAGTTGTTTGATGCCCTCAACAGTCAACTCTTCGTGTTGGAGGGTAATCTCGTTTGCGGCAGGAGCAAACTTGCCCGCATAGCGGTAGACATGAGCGGGGAAGGTTGCCGAAAACAGGACGATTTGGACAGTTCGTGGAATCATCCTACCCAGGTGGGACTATTAGCTGAAAGCTTTGAGTGCTGGGGGGTTAGAAGTGCTTACGCCTTGGCCCGAATGCACTGGTCTCCCAGGCCTTGCTGGTCAAGCATGTTATCGGCCTCGTCCAGGACAAGCACCTTCAAGCCTGTAGGGTTCATAATACGCTTCTTGATCATATCTTGAACAGTGCCAGGTGTGCCAACCACAATTGAGCAATCCATCTTTGATGGGCGAGCATTGGAATCGGCAGGAACAGCAGTGCCGATGACGAGACCTTCAAGGAACTGACCCATAACCTGGATCACGCCAACGATCTGGCGAGCCAATTCACGGGTAGGAGCGAGGATCAGAGCTTGAGGCGTCATCTGCAACTGCTCGGTTGAGAGGTCGAGACGACTGAGGACGTTGAGGACGAAGGCCGCAGTTTTGCCGGTACCTGATTGCGACTGACCAACCAAATTCTTCGGGGGGTTGCTCATCAAGAGGGGAAGAGCGCGCTCCTGGACCTTGGACGGCTTGCGGAAGTTCATGGTCGAGAGACCTTTCAGAATGCGCGCATCACTGGATTGTCAATCAAGTTAGCTGTGAGACACGCATTTGCACCAGCGCACCAATAACTAGCACTTACAGGCCCAGATCTTCGAAACTCTTGACTGAGAACAGGGGGTTGTTGGGGTCCGCTTGTAAATCACTCAATTTCACCGCGACAGTGTAGTCGGGCTCTTCAAGCTCTGCCGAGCCCTGCGCGGGGGCAGAGGCTCCGTCCTCCTTGGGGGTGCTGGAGACATTGGAGGTATCTGTGAAATTAAAGAAAAATATATTAGCTATCAGCCGGGGTATCACGCGTTTTCCGGTCGTGTGGACTGGAGGAATCAGCGACAGTGGCGTGGTCTCGTTTCGTACCGGTGGCCTTCGACTCGTCAGGTTTGGTAATACGATCAGCCAAGGAACCCGCAGCAGCGGTGGTCTCTGGATTATCAGACATTATGCAAAAGTCGGGTATTTCAGAAACCCAGAAAGAGTTGGAGAAGGGAAGGTGGAGGGGTGGTCGTGGGGTAAAGAAAAGTTCGAAATGAAATGAGATGGCTGCGTCCACGATTAAGGACTAATATGGCGCCAACTGAGGATAACTTGGGACTCAGGTAGAATGGAGGAAATCGGAAATCCAAGCACCAAGGAGAGAAGAACAATAGCCAAAGAAAACAATTCGAGCTCTCTGAACGGAAGAGCAAAAACAGATGACGCCGAAGGATAGGAAACTAGTCCGAATTGAGGCAAAGTGAAATAAATGTAATGGTATTGTAATGAGTGCCCATGAATGCCCATGACACATATTGACTACCAGCAACGTGTATGTTTGGTACTGTCACAGGGACCGGCCTTCTCCCCGCCTTGGCTATTGAGCTCATTCTTCCTGTCTGAATGGCCTCAATAGCCCATTGAACACTGCCTAATTGGAGATATTGACTACTTTGATCGATACCAAAATAAGTGGCTCATTAACGAGCAGCGCTGATACCGAAGGCAACCCCGTCTCATTGTTCGGTCTTCCATTCCCGCGCTGTCCCATGCGCGTCTGCCTTGGGATCTGAATCCAGCCATGGCGGCCGCAGACGTTGCTCCCCAATTCGGAGCAGAGTTAAAGGTATCAATATTGTATGGAGATGGTCCCAGATGCATAACTAACTAGATTGATTTATCTAGGATTCCTTCAAACCAGTGAACAATTGGGTATGTTCCCGGCATCCTTTCCCCGCAACCGAACCGTCAGATCACCCTGTGCGCTTGAAGTGGAGCTAATGCAAATGTGTTGCACAGGTATCGAATGGTATATCATGGGTAGATGAGATACACCAATTTTACCGAGAGCGCAGTGCTATTGAGAAGGAATACGCATCCAAGTTAACGGCCCTGTGCAAGAAGTACTATGACCGCAAGTCGAAGAAGATCAGCCCCTTAAGTGTAGGCGATACACCAACCTTAACCCCCGGCTCCCTCGAAAGCGCATCGCTCACTACATGGACTACGCAATTGAACGCCGTGGAATCTCACGCCGCCGAGCGGGACAAGTTTGCGTCAGAATTGGTACTGCAAGTGGCGGATCCTCTAAAACAAGCTGCCACTCAATATGAAGAGATTCGCAAATGCCATGTTGAATATCATGGAAAGTTAGAAAAGGAACGGGAGGCAGCATATGGCGATCTCAAAAAAGCCAAGGGTAAATACGATGGCGCATGCCAGGAGGTTGAATCACGCAGAAAGAAAATGGAATCCTCTTTCGATCATGGCAAGAGCAAAGCACAAACAGCATATCAACAACAAATACTGGAGATGAACAACTATAAGGCAGGGCTCATTAAACTGAAATCTTCGTGTCGTGATGCTAACTTGCTGGCAGAACCTCTATCTCATCAGCATCAATGTGACAAATAAGCTCAAGGAGAAATTTTACCATGAATATGTCCCTGAGGTGATCGATGTAAGATCAACCTGCTACTCCCCATATATTTGGTCAACAACGGTACTCATACTTCCGGTCAGGGTTTACAAAACCTCAATGAAACACGAGTCGCAAAAGTGAACTTGATGTGGTCGCTCGCCGCGCAACTTGAGAAATCATCTCTTTCAAATAGCACAGAGCACATAAGCAATCTCCTTGTCGAAATCCCTCGCAACAACCCGCGTCTGGACTCCTTGATGTTCCTCCAGCACAATGTGGCTCAATCGCAGGAACCTGCAAACCTAGGATTTGAGCCGAGTCCAGTATGGCACGATGATGCTTCAATCATCGCCGATGAGTCAGCCAAGGTCTTCCTGCGCAACGTCCTGAGTAAAAGCAAATCTCAAATCCGTGAACTACGAGTTGAGTCAGACCGGAAAAAACGTGAGGTTGAAGGAAGCAAGAAAGTACGGGAAAATATTCAACAAGGCAAAGATAATCGAAACGAGTTAGATGTCGTGCGGTCCATTTTCTACATCCAAGAATCCTTGCACGAAGTCGATCGCAAATGGGTTACAGCCGAGGTAGAAACAGCGACTATCATGGCAGTGGCTGGAGATTTGTCGTTGGGAGCCCAGAACCACAATTTCCGCTCTCAAACATTCAAGATCCCGACAAATTGCGATCTTTGTGGCGAAAGAATCTGGGGCCTGTCCGCCAAGGGCTTTGATTGTCGAGATTGTGGTTACACCTGCCATAGTAAATGTCAAATGAAGGTGCCCGCGGAGTGCCCAGGCGAGCAAACCAAGGAAGACAAGAAGAAACTCAAGGCCTTACGACAGGAACAGGCTGGTGCCGTGCCTGGTGTGGAGGTCGGCACCCCTACAGCTTCCACTGCCGCTCCGTCGCTGACACGACAAAATACAATGACCTCTCTTAGCTCAGGATATGCGGCCAGTACAGCTCGGTCAGTATCGAACGTTGCTACTCAGCCCACACCAGAAAGCCCAGCAGAAGAGCCTCCAGCTCCCGTCGCGCAGACAAAGCCAGCAGCCGCGAAGAGAAACCGAGTGCTAGCACCACCTCCAACAGCATACATGACTGCACCTCCGCCGAGCGACTCTGGCATGAGCTCGAAGTCCAAAGAGCCGCGGGGGAAGATGCTATACGCGTATCAAGCCACCGGCTCAGATGAGGTCAGCGTGGAAGATGGGGACGAAGTGGTGATTCTCCAACCAGATGGTATGTCCGCTTGTCTTATAGTTTACACCCAACGTTGTACTAACAATTGCACAGATGGTTCTGGATGGCTGCGTGTGCGCTCGGGAGCCAACGAAGGACTTGTTCCAACCGCATATGTCGAAGCTGCCCCAACACCATCTCCCGTGCCATCCGCTAGTTCCAGTATCCCTGAGCGGCCTGGGTCAACGTACTCAAATTCCTCGGCATCCCTGGCGGGAAGCGCCGCGCAGAAACGTGTTGGACCAGCCGTCGCGCCCAGACGAGGAGCCAAGAAATTACAATATGTCGAGGCATTGTACGAGTACGAAGCCCGGAGCGATATGGAGTGGAATATGGCAGAGGGCGATCGATTTGTCCTAATCAACCGGGATAGTGGTGATGGATGGGCCGACGTCGAACGGGGTGGTCTTACGAAGAGCGTTCCGGCGAACTACATCCAGGAGGTGTAGGTAGGGACGTCTAAATTGTAACCTGTTTGTTGGGCCTTGTAAGGTTCAGGCCTGCTTTCTGTTGATTTTTGTTCATTTTCCTGTATAGTCGGCGTCATCAGTGCCGTTGTCGTCATTATCTCACATCAGCAAGGAGCATTAGGGGCATTCGTGCTTGGCATCCATTCGGAGTCTCGGATAGAGCATAGGACACGTTGTTTCCATTGAATCCCCACGAAAAGAACTGTCCCAGTTGTAGGTAGCAGTCTAGATGCAAAGATATATCACAAACAGCACCCGAGCCCATGCTTCCACTCTTCCATTTTGTATGTACGTCAATCTCTTCAAAATAATCTCATCAATCATCAATCATCACGCGAGTTGTTGACCAGGTTCGCAGCCCGGACCCCTCCTGTTATTGCGACACAGGTGGAAATCCGGTATCTAAATGCTCGAACCCTGTCTCAGCCGACCACATATACCTAGACCAATCCTCCACCTGAAACACTTCCTCCATAGCCGGCATCTCCAAATCCATACTTAGGTCGACCTCGTTCAAATATCCCAACGTGCCATCACCCAACTCGAGCGCAGGGTCCAGCGAGAAGTCAAAGGGGTTCACCCCTTCGAGCGGACTAACCATGGACAACGTCTGCGCGACCTGGGAACCCGAAACCGCCAGCGTAGAAGGCTGAAGAGAATATGCAGGATCGAACAAGGCCGCAGCCGTGGTGTCGGACTCCGAGGTCACGGGGTACTCATACAGCGAGCCTGGCGCGGAATGCGAAAGGGAGTTACCCTGCTCTGCGCTGAGTGTTTGGTTCGAGTCCAAACCAGGCATAACTGACCCAGAGAAAGACACAGTGTGTCTAGAAGACTCAATCCTAGATATCGAGCTCTCCGAGCCCGACCAATCTCCTGCCCCAACAGTATCATGGTAGACAGGATTCTTCCCAGGCGACGACGCCGACGATGTCGAGTAGCCCGACTTTGACCCGGACCTAGACTTCGACTTTGTCACAGCCGTTGAGAGGGGCTTCCCGCCCACCGAACCCGAAATTGACCCCGACGGAGCTGGACTTGGACTCGGACGAGGGGCAATGGGAAGGAAACCGGTCGGATTATGCCGCGGGTGGAGTCTTCCGTGGCTCGAGGCTTTCTAGAAAAAGAGCAAACACCAATCAGCACCATGGCGTTTGCAATTTCTCTTCTTCCATATGCCGAAGATATGGCTTCGGTTTGGCTGTGTTTTGTGTTTGCGTTACTTTTGAAGGACATTTGAGCTCTGCGTCACGTTTTGCGCGCGCGTGCTCGATTGGAGATGTGCAGGGCGTGGCATTGCATATTGTACATGTAGCAAAAGGCCGGCCTTTACGTTTGATGCGAATCAATGGACGATCTAGTGGGTTTTTGTCAAGGTCAGTTTTAGGAGCTTTATGGGTTAGAGCAATGGGGGGGGGGGGNGGGATGTTGAAGAGTGTGGGGTTAGTATAGCAGCGAGGTAGGGGAAGGGGAAAAAAAAGAAATTGCCAGCTATTTAGGTACTTACCATGGTGTTTGCAGCTGGTCACACGGTGGCCCCGTATACAAGCTTCACACGCCCACTTTTGACCGTCGATAAGCATTCCTCGTTAAGATGAAAGGGCATGGTGCGTGGACGGGAACGAGCTTATATACCTTTTTTTCCCCCCCTAAGATCGTCCTGTGGTAAGGTAGGACTGAGGGGTCAACCGGGATATTGAGAGCTATGATGACACAGAAACAAAAAAAAAATATTTTTCTTTCTATTACTCTATTACTTCGTAGGCATGTGTGTGTCGCGAGGAAATCAACCCTATGATTCGACAAGTGATCACAGCCACAGGATCGACTAAGACTGGCTCGTGCATTTAAAGGGTTCTGTACTTTGTGGCTTTGTGGCTCTTTCTGGGTTTTTTCTTATTTATTTCGATGCACTTTGACTAGAGCTTGGGCCATAGTTTCATGCTATTATGCGGTACTTTTGTCACAGACGTGGGTCTCGGAAAATACTCAAAAGGGTAAAACGGTTGGAAAGTACTTAACTACATGTGTTATAGCTACTCCATATACCCCGTACCTAGGTATAGCTATGTGTAGAGCTATGAGGGATTTTCGTCCACGCGGCTAACAAATTGATTTAAGAGAAGATACCGGGAAAATTTCTTTCCCAATTTCCCACTTTCCCCAATACTACCATGCCTCTCAGAAATGCCTCATATGTTTTTTAGTACTCTTTTTTTTTACAATGGATCTAAACTAATACCAACACTACAGCATCCAGCATACAGCATCCAAAATTTATGTTCACTCGGCAATCGAGACGCCCGTTCCCCCATGGGGCTAGTGAAATCGTACATATTATGCCAAGACAGAAAGGCCATCTCTGGAGGTGGCTGTGCTGTTTTCGGGCATTTTTACCCTTCAGAAATGTTTCATATCTTCCTCAGATTGTATACTTTAATGTACGGAGTACATGTATATGTATATAATAAACCCCTTCAGTTGCCCTTTCCTCAATTTCTTCCTTTTTCTATCTTTTCTCCCTTTTCATCCAAAACGATCACAAAAAAAAAATAAAGAAAAATAAAAAATAAAAAAACAAGCTCCCGTCTTAGCTGTCAGCTCTCTGACCAATCATAAAGAGTCAAAAGCAGGTTCTCACAGCCCCGCAGTATGCGCCATTTATATAAACCTGAGGCATTTTTCCTTTCCACTGGTTTACTCAAAAGCGGGATCCTTCCTGGATTTGACTGAAAAAAAAAAAATTCTGTCGCCTGTTGGGTCACACGGGACATGAGATGTGCGTTGGCTCTTTTTCTCTTTTCTATGCAACCGGAAATCGCCTATTTCGTCGGAAAATGGGAAATTTGCACTTAAGCGTTCAAGGGGTAGCTTCCTCAACAGACATCTCTGATTCCAAGTCAGCAAAGCCTTTCAGCAGGCTTTACTTTTCTCGGGCCTCGAGATAATTATTGTCTTCCCATTGACCTTCAGATGCATCTGTCAGCTAGAAAAAGGTCCACCAATATTTGAATTCTCATAATCGATTTCCCAAATGCCTGGAAGGCGAGCAAATCCCTAAGATAAGAGTTCGGCCTTGATTGCGTCGACTGTGCCAATGCCTGCGATTTTCCGGGTGACATTTGAATTTGCATTAACTCGATCGCTGCAGGTTAGCATGTCAAAAGAATATTCTCCTGGGAGTCTGAAGCAGACCAACACCAGGCGCGGACATGACTATTTATATTAGTATCCCAGCATTCTCCTCGGGATAAACACTGTTATCTACATTACAAGGATTCCTTGGGATATGTGTACAGGAAGAGCACCCTGTTCGCTGAGTTATATGGCTCATATCAATATGTCGTCCCCCTTGGTTCAGATCGGGAATTATATGGCGGTGATAATGCCCTCTTTGGGTTTTCGTTTCACCGATAGTTGCTACTAAAACCTAGTTACACCGACTGTTTGACCAATCTAGAGCTAGCACCACGAGCACTGACGCGTATCTCAATATCTTGATTTGGATTCGGTATTTATTTTCCATAGATATCCATCCGCATCTCACTCCGTGCTGACCAAGATCTTTCAGGGTGTAAAATTGGAGGTCTGGGCCCAGAATCGACATTTTGGATAAATGAGGTATAAGCCCCCTATTTTAATTTTCGTTTCATGTGCAGAAACTGGGTTGCGCGGATACCAGCCATATCGAATTTTCCAGTCCCTACGTGATGGGAGTGAGTTCAAACTGGACGTACTTCTTATATGGCGCATTCCCTATATCTACATACCATTGGTTGCCTGACAGCACTTTGGTCTGATAATATTTGAGATAGACTTGTCTCATACAGTTAACTTTGGCAAAGTACAACTATTTCTCTATTGGACCTAACCCAGGCACAGGAAATACATAAATAACACAACAAGCAGCCATTCCATCAACTCATACTTCCACAGGTGACCGCACCCACTGTCTTGTCTCACGATCGAGACACTGTTTCTCCGCCTCTTTCCACTCGCCTCTGACCAAATCCGCTCTCTCCTTTGACCTCGGCGTAATCTTCGCAGGGAACTCTTCAGGCATACACACAAATCCCTGCGTGAGGCGGTCGGGATCAGGCAGAATCGGAGTTCCCGCAGTATTACATTCTGGCGTAATATCAAACGCCCACAAAATTCGCGACATGCCAAGGAACAGGCTACGCTCGGCAACATGAATGCCGGGACATATACGACGGCCCGCACCAAAGGTGAACACATCCCGCTTCGACGGATCTGGGTTTGCCGCTGCCTCTCCGAAGCTCTGGCAGTCGTCGTGGTACCGATCGGGATTGAATACTCGCGGGCTGGGATGACGAGCCGGGTCCATGTGGATGCCCCACACATTGTTCATCACACCAGCGCCTTTCGGTATAAAGTACCCTTTGTACTCGTCATCTTGTGTGACTGCATGTGGGACGGCCCCGAGGATGGTTGTCGGCATCCATCGGACTGTTTCTTTCATGCAGCTTCGTACGTACTGTAGTTCGGACAGGTCGTCCATGACGGGTAGGCGGCCTGAACCTACCACCCTTTCAATCTCTTCTTGGGCTTTGTGTTGGACACCTGGGAATAATAGCATGGCTTGGACAAAGGCGTATAAGGTGCTTGATGTAGTGTCTGAGCCGGCTTCTAGGAGGGTTCCAGAAATATAAGCTGCTTGGTCGTCGCTGAAACCGTCTTCTTTCTGTGCCTTGTACATTCCTGCGGAGAAGCATGGCTTGATTGTGTTCTGGCGAACCTCTTCCTTTGCTCGCAACCAGTGGTTCAGATACAATGCTTTCTCCTTTTTGTGGAGATCTTTTGCTTTCTGTTGTGCGGGGAGAAGAAATTCGGGTAGTTTCCGCAGCAAGGGGAAGAAGTCGATGATTGCCGCCGTTCCGGTCTGGTTGAGATCTGCAAATTCCGAGAAGCCGTTAAACAATTGCATCATTTTCTCGTCTTCGTATGTGGGTGTGCGCCATCCGAAAACCATCGTGGTCGTGAGGGCATTGGAGTATCGTCTAATGTGCTTCAGGAATCCTTCAGGCTCCGTCAGGAATTGATACAGCATTTGCCGATTCTCCAACATTTGATAGGGTAGATATTTCTTGGATGTCGTAACGTTAAGCAAGCCGTGCACCATTTTGCGGAACTAGAATCAAGTTAACACAAATATCGCAATGATGTTCAGTAATACCCACCCCACGCCATGTTGGTCCATAGCCCTAAATATAGAAGAATTGGTTAGCCACCAGATGCGTCTGGAAATCACTTTGCTTAGCTTCACGGCTTACCATCATCAACATTCTAAGGTCACCGCTGCACAAGATCTGGCCAATATACAACTCTGGCCGGTGCGAGTATATACCACTTCTTTTATCCAAAAGCTCTTTCACTGCCTCATCACTGGACAGCACAATAAGACACTTGGTGCCTAGCATCAAACTGTAGATTGGGCCATATTCACGTGCCCATTTTTCAAATTGAAGATGAGCATCTTGGGATGGCATCTAAAGGCGAAAAGTTAGCTGAAATTTCTCCATTTGGAGGCACCTTATCGCATACCTGATGGATATTCCCCAAAATGGGCAATGTTGGAGGTCCCGGGGGGTAGTTCTTTGGTCGACGTCCGATTTTGAGGACGCGCGAAAGAATTAGGAGAGCAATAGCTGCCCCTACTAGTGCAGTAACTGGTAACATCTTGAATATTTGGGATTGTTTTCGCAACTGAGTGAATCGTCAAAGATGCACTCCTAAAAAAGATTGACATTGAGGCCAGAGCATCCCTAGAGATATTCTTTGCTATTTAAATGCTATTGCTTAGATCCTTATTTTCATGCTCTAGCATCGCTCAACCCCAGTATCATGGTCAATCTCGGAGATCGGAGTGGGATGTGTGTATAAATGCGGATGCGGAGGTGGGCGTCGGAGTGGATGTGGGGGAATATTTTCACCGAAATGCACAACTCCAAGCAACCTATGATGGTGAAACAATTGATCAGTGAAAGGTCGTCAAATAGAGTTATACCAATGATGAGAGTTCAAAATCAATTGGAAGTTGGTTCCACACCCAAAGAACAGCAGCAAGTCCACTGGCTAGCAGCAAAGAACCTTTTTTAACTTGCAATAAATCACATGCTTGAGTATTCTCGTTATATTACTTTCCTTCTATGGTTGGTATACTGTCCCTGGGCTAGCAGCTACACTCGTCTACTCTAATTCATTGATGCGTCAGAGCCGCAGCATCGAGTATCCCTCGCAAGAGACATCTTCGCCTTCCCCAAGTTTAGCAGCAACATGCCCATCCCACCACTCTTCCCCTCTCACTTCCCCGGTTCTTGAACTTTAAGTTCATCTAGAACGGAGACATTGCCACTATCTCTTTTGGTTGTGCGGGCAACCGGTAGCCATGCAGGGGCAGGGGCCCATAAACCCCAGCAAAAAGCCACGAGACTCGGCATTTTTGGCCATGGGCTCGTCCGTATCAGCCGAATGCCCGGAGATATCATCAAGGATATAGGGTTAGAGCGGGTGTTGTTCTCATTGGGCTTAGTGTGCGGGCCTTTGTCCTTACATATGCATAACGGGCCGACTCCGTCCGATATTGTCCTGGAGCCCCCGCCTTGTTGGTATTGTCCCTTTCCTGCCTCTATCCTGGGAGCTAGTAATGCCTTAGGACAAGGGGCCGGTATAAAGTTTAAAGTTAAGTTACTAGCGGCGGACTTAGAGGCTAGAGATAGACACTCTTGGTTAGTAGGGATATATTTTCTAACACCTACACTTCCCACAAGCGCTTAAGAGGTTACTCACCACTTCCAGGTATATAGGGCAGCGACTATCTCTTCTTCCTCTGCCTCCCATTCTCTTCCTCTTAGTCTCAAAGATACCGGTTCGCAAGAACCCTCGGATGATGATTGAGCAGGGCCTAGGAGGTCATTGGATCTGCATATATCTCTCATAATCACGAAAAATAATAAGAGAGAATAAAGCAGCCTTTTATGTGACGGATGGCTTACACACCAATACACGGGATCAAAGCCAGGCCAACAAGGCCAACGCAAGCACCGACCGTGGCAGCTTCCCGGTCACTAGTGGAGCCATCCGAACATCAGGTCCCCCAAAATGCCTTCACCGCAATGCTCAGGGCTTTTACAATATACCAGATATCCTTTCTATACGTATGCTCACTATGGTAACCTGCATAAAAGATGACTGTATTCCTGCACACCTTATTTATTTTTATTTTTATTTTTTTTGTGGTATATGACCATAGTCTTCTCAGCTTGCCCTATCGTATGCTTGTTCTGTAGCCAGGCAATATACCACAAAGATATATATAATCCAATCCATGTCCTTCAATCAATCTTGTAGGTCTGAGCCACTCGGAAATGACGGATGACAATGCCAAGTACAAATAGAAGAGTCCGACCGTATCGAAAATAGCTGCGCAATACCATCCATAGCTGCAAAGTATTCAGTTGCCTCGGGCTGTACACTCAAAGACAAAGCCCAAAATAGGCTCCCAGTGATGTGCATCCTTATTCGTACGGGAAGAATTAAGGTAGATCTGACTTGATGTGATTTGCTTACGACTACTCCGTACCCGGTGGATCTCTTGGCACGTAAGCAGCTTGCATCATTCTCGATTTCGGAATTCTGTTGCCTCCCAAGCGACTGTATCTTAGTTTTAGCATCAATGATCAACATCCCGGGGAAACGGTAGTCTTGGTAGGCTCTGGGCTCTGTGAATTGCTGGATAGAACCAATGGAGTACATACATTTAGCCATTTTCAGGGGTTCTTTTGAGGTGCCAGTTGACCGAGGGGCTAAGGAGGGTATAGCACAAAAGGGAAAGCAAAGGCTATGCCCTGTGAATTCCTGATGCTTTGAAATATCTCGTGAGAGATAGACAACATCAGTTGGATATATGTATATCTACTGTAATCAAGTCCGATGAACATTTCTTAATTCCGTGCCAAGACCACTCAGCCACCTAATACGTTATCGTCCAATAAGCGCCAAGATGTCATCCTCATGGTCCAAACCTTGGCCGAAGTAAAATCCAAGTAAAATGTAAATCCAACTGCACAATACTAAGTTAGATCAAAACTCAAATTAACCTAGAAAGTCTTTATATAAACTAACTAACACCCCCACACTTTTCTCGCACTTATCTCAAAGGACTTCGATCCCTTCCCTATTTTACGGCAAATCAGAAATGTTTTTTCGGTCGCTATATACCACATTCTTCGTCCTCCTCCTCAGCTTCCTAGCTACAGCCGCACCTATTAGCACTCGGTCGGTGCAGATTCCTGGGTCTGACAACACACTTGAAGCTACGACTCAGACGATAGTACAATCGCAACCAATCCACGATGCAGCATCAGTAACTGCACTTCCCCCGAGATTCGAACTCGAAAACCATGACACAATACCGGGTCTCCATAAAGCAGCAATCGACTGGAGAGAAGATGGGTCTGAGTCTCTCAAACTGGAATCAGAACGTGAGGCCGGGTTTCTTCCGAGTTCTCATCATGAGAGGTAAATGTTGCATCCCGTTGCGACCAGCTAGCCACTAACAGAATTTGCCAGTGACTCCTCATTGCCTGAGCTTTGGCCTTTGTTCAAAATCTGTATCGTTTCAGCAATAGCGATTTGTATTCTCAAAATAATCCGGGACTTGAAAAGATAGCAATCTACGAAAGCCAAATTATGACACATTGATTCATTTGTTGTAGTGAGACATTTTAATTGTACAGCAGAGCCGGCTTTCAAATCTGGAATGTCTGAAAGTCCATAATCAGATCATTAATCTGGCGCATACTAGTTTGGTCATATCGATTCAGAATCGGGTCCAGCGGGCCCTCATCGAGCGGCTCCAACTCATTCTCCGGCTTAGATGTGCCAAGTACTGCTAATCGATCTGCCATCAGATGAGCCAGAAGCCAGTACTCGGGGGCATAGCGGAAAAATCCCATTCGTCTCCAGAGCTGCTCTGGTTGGATGTGAGGGTCTTCAATTGTCATGTGTGGCATGATTCCTTGGGGGAACGTCGAGGAAAACAACTGCCAGATATCGCGCCAGTTGCTGAGTGCATTTTGGATCGGGGCTCGTAGTTGGAAGCTGCCCACCGCGCTGCGGAATTGGAAGATTTGTGAGTGAATTGCTACATTCTACAGTATTAGCAAAGTTGGATCATGGGGGCTTGAACTGTAGCTTACCTGATGTTAGTGCGAATAAATTCAATGGACCCAGGGTAGCGAGGAGGTGGCGGATATTGACGGATAGATCGTCTTTACATAGTGACTCGAACGACCCGCGGAAGGATGTCGTCCAGTAGAGACTTCTTGCAGGCAGGAAGAGCTGGATTTGGTGGTGGCATTGGTCTGCCGTTGCCGCTTGAAAACAGGTTTCTGGTGTTGCCATATGCATCCTTATTTCTTTGATGACCATCCGCGGAGGAAGGTTGTTGAAAATGACGAATGCTGAGTCTAGTAAAAAGATCCAAGTAAACAGACTATGGCTCAGGAGTATCAGTGGCTATTTCTTCAAGCGCAATATTGAGACCCACCGGATCATTTCCTCCCGAGCGGCATATTCTTTCCATTCGAACTCATGGCGGCCGAGCTCGCTGTAGTTCAGATGTCGCGCTGCCGTGATACCAATATCACGAGCAGTCTTTGGTACATTAATAGGCTGACGATATGCAGACCAGAAGGTACACTTACAGATACCAGGGTAGCAAAACGGTAACGTCGAATGCGACTCTTGCTCGCATCCGCACCCTCCCAGTTCTGGTAGAGACAGACTATGTAGGCGGCCTGTACGGCCTGAATCTTGCGTCTTTGAATGGACATGTTGCTAGAGGATTGGTAGGTCAAATCACTGTTGAAATCGTCGTCAATGAAAACCATTTCTTCCACACAGTTGAACCAAGTGCGCGCATCTTCGTTATCAGGCATATCGGGTGATACACAGGCACTTTTCAATGGTTAGCCTTTACCAACGCCAATCATGGGAGAATTTCTTACCAATCAGAGCCATTGCAGCTAGTAGTGTCGGCTTCGCTGCCAGCATGTCGAAGGTAGGCCGGTGCACAAAGTTCACATTAGGATGCCATATTGCCCAGTAGAACCCCAGAAATCTTCTTATGTTCGAAGCAGAGAAGAATTGCAGACATGCATCCCTGAGTGCTGATGACCAGTCCAAGGTGACAGAACTGTTTCGCGGTTTGATCGTGACCACTTCTTCAACTAAGAGAAGAATCTCGTGTGTCTTCAAAGAAAGTGGATCACTGAACCAATCCAGTGACAATTCACTTGCTGAACTTGTATCACTGTTATTCTCCAGTATCAAAGAAGATTGAACATCCATGCCTAAGGCTGGCAGTGACATTATTCTCTGCTGTAGCTGAGACAATATTTGCTGGTCTAAGCTGGCAGCAACTTGTTCTCTTTGCTCGTGGGTACCACAATCAAAGCTCGACACTAGACCCGTGTTGCTAGTAAATTTGTCCAGGAAGTGCAGCGATTTCTGAGGGCTGTCGCTAGAAACAGGCGTTGTGAAAGTTGCCGGGCATTCGGAAGCTAATGCCGAAAAGTCCGGCCAAGTTGGACTGGTGTATTGCATAGAAGCTGGATCAAAGGAGGTATCGATCGGACTTGTGCCAAAGTTTTGCAAGTCCTCCACAGTGAAGCCCCACGGCATCATTGTATTAAATGTCGATGTCGATGGCGATGGCAGTGGTGATAGGTCCGTGGATTGAGTACTCAAGTCTTGGTGTTTCGGTGTATCCTTCATGGAGCTATGTTTCGTTACTCGTGATGAAGACCCCGTGTCTGTGGAATACCAACACTGGGCACCTTTTTTGGCGCAGCTGTGACATGGTTGATGGGAGCTACAGGCCTTTTTCTGACGAACGCAACGATCGCAAGCTCGTCTTCGAGTGCTTGCTTTCGAGCCACCGCCATCACAGGTCCGCAGATGTCGTTTCAGAACATCAGCGCGCTGAAAAGCCCCGTTGCACGAATTGCATTGGTATGGCCGCTGTGATGTATGGGAGCTAATGTGGCGAAATAGGTGCTCACGTCGCTTGTACCGCTTGAGGCATAATGAGCACTCATATTTCGGGGATTCTGATATCTCAGGGCTTCCTGCCAAAGGATATTCAGTTGACATTTTTGAACAGAAATTTATTTTGGTCCAAGTCCGGGGTGTCCGGGGAATGTTCGCGGGGAGAGCAGTGGGGCGAGAAATGTTAGAGTTCTGGCGCGGATGCGTTGATCGGTAATTGCACGTCGGTCTATGATTCTTCAGATTTCTTTCACATATGCCGACTACTTGGGGGTTTGCTGCCTTATGGTGTGCTCTATATGATGGGCATCCCATGACTCCTTTCACCAATAAAAAAGAAGCAAAAAAAGGGGTACAATCCCGGTCAATTTCCAAGGTTATATATAGTTGTATATACTAAACATTTATAATTATATGCACCTATCCCAGTCCACTAAAAGCGATTATTACTTTGTCCTATTGTTTCACTTTCCAGGGTCTTCTATAGTTAGAGTGAGGACTGTACTATTAACTTTTAGTAGTACTATCAGTTGAAGGAAGCGTGGCACAGTGATTGGGTAGTATTCTAGGGCATCTTGGATGTACCTCATTATTTGGGCCATTGACGTCATCAAGAAATGAGCTCGATCTGGAACATGATTATTGTGTTATTATCATCATTCGATAGGGCCAATATTCTGATCTCGTGGAAATCATCCGAGGTTGATCGACCAACAATACTTCATTACCCCCTGCATCAAACCCCGTATATTGCAGGCTAGAGCGCGAAGAGCGCGAAGAGCAGTAGTGCCAATCACGGAATATCATCTCCTTGCTATATAACAGTTAATGCCTTAGCTATGAGCTTATTTCAGTAATCTATGCCTCCTATATAGCCTCTATCCTAGCATATCTCCCATCCAATTCCTTAACAAAAAAAAACAAAAAAAAGATACACTGTCAGGTGCATTCACTCTCACCCTGGCGCAACGCAATGGTCCTTCCTGATCCGCACTAGCGTCAAGATAATCAAGCACAAGCAAAAAGCAAGTACAGAAGAGAAAGATAACCAATACACGACGTTGCACCCAAGCCTCCACAATTCTGAAGATCACGCAAAAAGCACCCCCGGAGCACGCGTTAGATACATATTTCAAATACCTTGTGAGGGGGAGGGGGGCGGGGGGCCAACCATGTGATCGACACGGGTCGGCCCTTGGTCTTAAAACGCCTGGTCATGGGAGTTTCCCAATCTCCTAGTACCTGTGGTCCGTAGACTCCATAGATAAGCAAACAAGGTTCAAATCCCGGTACGTGCATAGCTTGTATCACTTCTGAAACTTTGTATCACATAGTTCTGCAGGAACAAAGCATCTCGTGCCTAAGCGTTCAGCCATTGGAATGCTGATATCGCAAGATCTGCTCATACCTGCGGGTATCTCGCTATTGATGCGAATAATTGATAACTACAACATATGAGGTTCCAAGGCTCCAAGGCTGTAATTATAACTGTGGCTAGAACTCCATCGGCGTGTGGAGCTCGCCGATCATTACTGAGATGATAATGTTAAGGTGATCGGTGGATACTGGGGCCTGATGCAAGTGATCGGGGTTTGACGCGTTTGCACCCTCGGCGATCCTACATTATGTGTTTTGTTCCTGTTCCTTTCCCCCGGGACTGCAGGGGTCACGAGTGTTACCGTGGGATTGGGATTCAACCATGAGGCTACGGTTCTAGAAAAAGCAAACATTCTATGCCATCATTGCCTTAGGTGTACCTTGCTTCCAAGGTTGGCATGTGGCTTTCTCCTACTTATGTGGGCAAGGGACACTGGGGCCCAATTACCTGGTGGCTGCATAATAGTGAATAATGGGTTGTCTGGACTTAAAAAACATGCGCTTTCGATTGGACCAAAAAACCTGGATGGATATTTAGTAATGTATGGGATACAAGTTGGGGGATTAGCTGAAACGGAGTAAAAGGTGGACATTCTTGGTAAAGTTGGACTGTAATTGGCCCTTTATTTGATCTCTGCAGGCAACTCTGCTTTTATATACATTGATATAAAATATGTGCGACAAATGAAGTAACAAGAATAGAAAAAATATAGCCCCCAAATTAGGCTTGTTGCCAATGCATGTCAAAGAACTCCTCGCTGTAATGTCGCTTGCTCAAAAACCCAGGACAAAAAGACGCTTGTAAGAATGAAGACTAAGATCAAACAAAAGAAAAAGGTGAATGCGAAGTCGTGCCCGCTAAGGCCTCGGTGCCGAGTATCAAAAGGTTCAAAAAAAAGTGTAGCCTCACATAAGAGGATAATAGGATGTCGAGAAGTGAATCGCTGGTCGTTTGCATGTTGTTCAGGTGGATCGCCAAGGGAAAAAAAAGAATGAAAGAGAGAAACGCAGCTCATGCAGTTCGTGCAGTTGCCCGAGATCCTCGACGATGTTTTAAATCATCTCGGCTGAGGAGTCGGCGTAGCTTAGAAACAAATCGACATGGTCGACCATCTAGGGCAATGTTAGAACTAAATGCGACCGAAGCAAAAAAGAGGATTAAGCTTACCACTGATGCGATGAATGGACATGGAGGAATCATCGATAGGCTGCGTCGTGTAGGCTGCAGCCCAATATCCCGTATCGCGGTAACCGGTGAAGGTGCAGTTGCTGGGGTTATATTGTGGCTGCAGGGCCACGACATGCGGGTAGAGCGTTGCTAACGGTGAGAGAAGCTCCTCTGGTGGGGGTGACCGTCTGCTGTCGATGCTTCCTCGAGACTAGAAAATTCAAGTCAGATTGATTATCCAAAGTAAAGTATCCATGGGGTTTACTCACGTAAAGCTCATAGTTGGTCTTGTAACTCATGGTGGGTAGTGGGTAGTAGATAGTGGGGTGAGTGTTGCGGTGTTGAATTGTTGAAGTGTTGAAGTGATATTTTTGTATATCACATAAACTCTCAAAGTCTTAAATGCAAGATGACGACTTGATCAAGAAACCTTAGAAGTATTCAATCTGTGTTGAGATGCAGGTTTGACCAGAAGCGAACCAGCCTGCATTTAAACGAAGACTTGAACATGCTCAGCCGCAGCAATTTGGAAGCGGGGGAGATCAGACGTCAAGCTGATCCGCATCTAGTAGCCTAATTTGTTTTTTCACAGGTAGGATCTTGTCACACCCGGGTAGTCGGGTTTTCGAAACTCGATGGACTTGCATAGCGTCCTTTGATTGGATGAGATGGGGGGAACATCTGAGCGTCAGGGCCGATCTGTCGGAGTCCCCGATATGGGCAAGCCTCTCGATACGAGGACTCGCTTGAACTTGGATCATCCCTGCAGCCCTGGAGACACCACGAATTGTGTCATCTCGTTCTACTTTCCCCCTTGCATTTTGTTTCTTCGATTTTTTTTTTTTCCTTTCTGTCCACGTTTTTCTGTTATTTTTCTCTCATTTTTCTTTCATTTTTCTTTCATTTTTCTTTTCCATATGTACCTATTGTAGAAAAACATGTGCCACAGATAGGGAAGAACAGCAAATATTCGCAGATCCTTGGATCCCAAATATGATATGAGATCCACCACCGAACAGATCCGGATCCTACCTCTTTGGGTAAAAGAACAAATTTTTAATATAAGTTTTATTTAATTATTTAGAGAAGTGGGACCTTCAAGTGTCATCAATGTCGCACAGGTCGCGAATAGAGACCTAGTTAAGCGAGTATCTTAGAAAGACCAAACACTAAAACGGATCGGAAACATGAGATCATTGATCTTCCGCTAGTAGTAGGGCTTCCAAATCATTTTAGGGTGATGTAGGGCGAGATAGTTCAAGAGACTAGCCTCGAATGTATTGAACTATTGAGACACTACTCCGTAAGAGATCTAGATCGACCATGTGGGCTGCCTAATAGAGACTAGTGGACAATTCCATTGTTGGGTTGAGACACAGCCACACACCCCTTGCTATTTGAGGATAAGCGCACGAGCCACATTCTCGGTCACACCGTGGCTCAAACCGTGGCTCACCGTGGCTAGTGAAAATATCTGTGGCTCAAGCTTGATTTTCTTCGATAGCTTCCCAGATCCACCCCACCCTGGCTTCACCTCCGAAACCCGAACTAGTCCGCCCTTGATCTTCACAAGTTATCGATTTTGGGCACCCTTGATGGCTCGGTCTTCCCCGTCCGCGCTGGGTCGCGGAGCTATAAGGCGTTCGCCTCCCCCAGAATTATAGACTATTCCAACTCAAGTCTAAATCCACCTCCAGTTTCAAACATTCTTCCTTTGTCGCATACTATTAACAACACATGTCGACTGTCGAACATGTCACTGAGCATGCAGGATTCTGGAAGAGAGTGCTGGGAAAACTCCCAGCGTATGGATATGCGCGATCCTTATTCTCGCGAACAACTCGCTCAAAGTGAGTTCTTTCTTCCCACGCTTCCCTCTATCCCGGTCTTGCCTATTACACCGGTTGTACAATGACCAATATTCTAAGACTTTCTGCCCCCGTTCCAGGATCTGTCGAACGAGACGCTGAACGCATTTCGGATAGGCGCGAGCGCTCTCATGAAGAGGGAATGACCAACCCAGAGGCTCAGTCGATCTTGAACGATGCCGAGTTTGGTCGTGTGGACCCCACGGGCTGGTTTCCACATTATAAGAATTGTGTTCAGCACTTCGTCGATTATAGCCAACATACACCCCAAGTGCAGTCCCTTGCCGCGTTCATCAATATTCGACTACCCTGTCAGCGACCTTCTGAGTCTAGCGCACCGACATCTGAATCTACACCATCGTCCTTTGTTTCACTACGTCCATATATTAGACGGTTGATTGTCACGGCACAGGACTCACCGACTGTCATGCAAGGCTTCTTCGGTGGTGATTGGGAGGCTGGCGTGGGCTGCATCTACAAACAAGAACGGGTGAACTATCTGTTTACGGCTAAGAGCAGTGGGTGGGCATCTACCAAGGCTGCCTACGACATTTCTCCAGATGAAGAGACACCCTTCTTGAGGCCCCTGCGTGACCCCTCGGAGGATGAGATTCGAGTGGCCGAGGCGCGGTGGAGCGAATGGCTGGCAATGGAGGATTGGATGGTCGGATCGCGCAGTCCCTGGTAGGATGTCGCGGTGATGAGGCACGAATTTTCTTTTTCTTTTCGTTTTCTCCTATGTCTCTCGTTCTTCCCAAAATGTTTAGTGCTTGTGATGTCATATCACAGTGGAGTATAATGATAAGGCGGTCCTTTTTTTCATCCTCTGTGCCCTACATAGCGAAAGTTTTCCCCAACTGAGCAATACGAAATCATCATGAGCACGTTAAAAAGAAAAGGGTTAAAAATAATTCGATTCGTTTTAGCACGCCCATGCAGAGTTGACAGAGATCAGCCGCGGGTCCCGCGTCGTCAGAATTCGATAGTGCCGCACCGCCGCAGACCAGTGACAAATACGGAGTATTAAGCGACTCCCGATTCAATAATAAGATTAATGCAACTTATTAATGATTCATACCTACAACATAGTTGTAGGCTCGGACTCCGTGTTTTCATTAATTCTCAAGTCAAACAACTAACCAGACTTAGTTAGGCACAATTTGGCCATGTTGTAGGGATCCACCAGTCTCTGACTCACCCGGGTCACAGGTGTCAGCCTGTCACTTTATGAATAAGTTGAGGATCAATAGTCCCTTCTACTCTGTACAAGCTTGTGATTTGAGATCCCCTTCATCGACCTGTAGAAATCGACCCCTGAATCCAGGTACCCGGGAACCCGGCACATCCACGATCGGAATGGCGATATGCATCTACGAGCACGATGCAGCCACAATAATACCGGCATTGGTATCTGAACTGCCGTATTCCACTACTTTGCTTCGGCGAATCCAACACGGAATCGCGTATCCGTATGAAACCGCCCACATACTGGCAACTTTTCCGCCCAATTTAACCCCTGAGGCTGGACAGCCATGGCTGGCTGCGCGAGTGGATCTTTTTGCCGGGCGCACAACACAAGTCCTCATCTACTCCAGCCTTGAAGCGGAGCACACGTCAATTGCGCCGATCCTCACTCCGCCGGAGATATTAAATGTGGACTCGGCAGAGTCCAATAATAATGATGTCAACACCATCACCAAGTCCATTGTTTCCACCTTTTCCGCCAACCCACCCGTCCTAGCCCTGGCCCGCGCGCAGCTATTGGCTTTGCTATCATATGTCAAGACCAACCTGCTGCCATCCTACCTGTCATATTTGGCGAAGTCAGCCCAAGCCACGTCTGTGGAAGCTGAGAATCCTCCCGTGTCATTGTCCTCGGTGACCCCAAACAACACCAATCCCACTACCAATAATAGTAGTGTTCCCCTGATCCCCGCGCCAGACCCACATGCCTTCCTCATTGGAAGCCTTCATACAGGTCTATTCTCCCTCCTACAGCGATCAGGATCTTACACTCAATCTGACCCGATACCCAATATTCGGGTCCATCGCTTTGATGATCCACCCTATTACAAGTACTTCTTCCGGAGATCTGAGTTCAGCCCCGAGGCAGAGTCTGGAAGATCTGCTGATCTGCCGTCCGCTGATCTTTCCCTCCCATCCGGATATAGGTTCCATGACCGGGAGGGGAGGGAGGGTGTTCTGAGTAAGCATCTTGATCTTGTGCAGAATCGGACAAGTATTCCCAGGCCAAGGGCACAGCTATCTAAAATGCCCGGTATGGCAATTTATTTTGATTCTGGGTCTAGCGATGCTGATGAAATGCCCATTGCGTGGGGATTCTTGGGTGTGGATGGAGCACTGGCGACGTTGCACGTTGAGCCGGAGCATCGGGGTCGCGGGCTTGCGGTTCCATTGTCTAAGGCTATCATGCGTCGTGGGATGTCAGTAGATGGCGTTTTTGGAGCTGGAAGTGTCAACTCTGAGGATAGTCAGACTCTAGAGCGTGTTGGCGAGTGGGCGCATACTGAGGTGGCTGGGTATAATAAGGCCAGTCGGAGGGTCATGGAAAAGATTGGGGGTCAGATTTTGACAACCGTCACCTGGACTGTTATTGAGTTGCTTGATTAAAGGTTTTCATCTTCTTGGTTTTGTCGATATAAACGGAATATATCTAGTTGGAAATGGTTTGCACAATTATATACACTTGGGTATCTTTACGCCTATAGCAGATATATCTGGCGCATTTTACAATAGGTGACCAAATTTAGGAGTAAATTATGTTTTGAAATATCTGATATCTACCTGTAAATTGTCTCTTCCTAATATTAGGTAGACTCACGAAGGGTTGTAAACCCCTAAACAAATATCCCGGCAAAGGACATTGAATCACCGCACTCGTTGAAAACTATGTACATAATGTTGCCCTTCGATGTCCAGGTCCAGATATGCTCAAATGTCCCCTACACTTTAGTAATCGCATTTTCTTCGAAGTCAGTTGAGGGTTGTGAGCTCAAGTTCCCGTTCACTTTAGTGCTTCGGAGATGTTCTTCTGCCAGTGCAGCGTATTTACAACGAGCTCTGATCTTTGCACCGTAAACATAGAACAGAACCGGGAATGGAAGGCAAGCGAGTGCAATGAATCCAGGAACGGCCACGCCCCAGTGGATTCCAATGTCCTGCAATCCTGTTAGCAGGGGACTTCACCAAATGAGCCATGTTTTACACGTACATTGAACATGTAGGTGGTAAAAAGAGGAAAGACACAAGCAAAAATGGACCGCATCACAGAGTTGGCAGCGAGGACTGAGGCGGCGAATATCACGTACGCATCAATGCTAAGGATAGCAAGTCAGCCAGTTACCAGGTGCAAGGAACAGCGGGGGAATTACAGATAATTAGCGCAGCATATGAACACCATGACAAATCCTGCACCAAATGGAGCTCCAGCCATGATTGGAACTACCCAGTGGATATTAGGAGAGTCGGTCGCGGCGAACCAGGCCAGTCCAACAACAATAGATATTCCACCTGCAATAACAGCTGGTAGACGACATTCTGGAGGGGCAAACCCGTCAGTTGCGCGGTAAATACGAACGTATCGTTTGTTGTCCCAGCAAATAATGAGGATTCCGACTATCAGGCCCACCAAGACACCTGTGAACCCGAGGCCTCCAACGCCGGCATTCCAACCACGGTTTTCCTGGAACACGATCGGGAATGCAGCAAAACACAAGTAAAGAGTGCCGTAGATGGCTGACATGTAAAGCTTCATGAATCCGTTAGTGGTTATCATAATTTTGAGTAATAGGACGAAGTTACTAACTGTCAGACTAAAAACAATAGGCTCACGGAATAGTAACACCCATGGTCGAAGCAACGCATGCTTAACCAACTCCTTGAAAATGACAGGATTTTTCGCATCTTCAGCAGTCAGATAGACCATCGAGGTGGCTCGCGACAAGCGCCCAGCGCGTGCTCTCAACAATGCCGGGGCATATGTTTCAGGCATAAAGATAAATGCCGTCAATGTCAACAACGCGCCGAATATAGCCAACAGACCCATCACCCAACGCCAATCGGCTGCATCGCCTAGAAACCCACCAATTATGGGACCGAGAGCTGGTCCAATGAATGGTGCAAGACAAAACACGCCAATTCCGAGGCCTCTGAGCTCCGCTTTAAACATATCTGCGATTTGACCCCCGGGAATACATAAGGCGCTAGATCCAAAAAGACCCGTGAAGAACCGGAGGATAATGAGAGTCCAAACGTTTTGTGAGCCGCAGCAACCAGCAGTAAAAATTGTGTATCCAGTATAAGAAAGGAGGAAGATATTGCGGCGACCAACGGACTCAGAGATGGGAGCCCACAGCAACGGTCCCACGGCATATCCAAGGACCATAAGCGATAGACCCAAGGTAATCACCTCGTGGCTACATTTGAATTCAGCGAGCAGCGAGCCAACGGTACCCGAGTATGCAGATGAGGCAAGGGCAACGCAAAGTGTCATGGTTGCAATCAATGCTGTAGTACTCCATCGTAGGACCTCACTGTAATTCTTAGGGTTTTCGAGGTCGTTCTCTAGCCACTCCACAATGTATGGGTCGTCTGACGTGCCGCTACCATGATAAGGAAAGTCAATGATCGTTTGGAAATCCGTCACGTTGAGCCGCCATGGTCGTCTCGTCAAAATGTATTTATGGGAGTCATGCGGGCCGTGGGGCGTCTTGCTAGATGGAGTGAAACCCATGTTGGAACCGAACGTATATTGCGCCTACCGGTTGACTAGAAAGGGTCAAGGCAATATAAATAGCGAGACATGGCACACTTTCCCCCGCAAGATTCTGATACAATTTCGGTCATTTTGATGTTAATTTATGTATACTCCGAGAAAAATATGTGATTTCAAAGTCCTAGAAATCGTGATACTCGGCGAAAATAGAGTTCGGAGCTTAAACTGTCGCCGAGGCCGGAGAAAGCGGGTTCAACACGTGACTGAGGGCTCGGAATCGGCGTTATCGAGTCTCCTTGGCCGAGTTGAATGTAATGACCTCTGCTTGTTTCATTGCCCCCAAACCAATATACGTATCAGAGGCTCCTGATCCATATCTTTTTATGAAGAAGACGCTCTCACCGCGGCGCGCCTGCTCTGAGTGCAAGGCGAAAAAGCTCCGCTGTGTTGCTAGTCGCGATGTGCCCAGCGTATGCCATAGGTTCGACTCTTCCTATCTTAGCTTTATTTTCTTGAGGTCGAGGGCCTATATTAACTTGTAATTAACCTCAAAAAAGGTGTCATCAACATGGAAAGGACTGTACTTTCCCTGAAATACGTCCTCGGAAGCGACAGAGTCGATGTATGTGGGCCTACATTTGCAAGCCCGTATAGATGAAATCCTAAGCTCACATGAATAATAGTGCACAACCGAATGTCAAATTTGGAAGAGATAATGAGTAATCTGGTGGACCGGCTCCCTGACCGATCGCAAGATCATATTTTGCCAGATACTACTGCGGCAGCATTTACTACATCGCTAGGGCTCACTGAATCAACCCTCACGAATCAGGATCCTTTGACATGTGGCCTTGTCACATTTCCAGAGGCAGAAACCTTGTGTCAGGCTTATCGAAGGATGTCGCATCAGTACTTCCCCTGCGTTATCGTCCCTGAGAGGCTCGGAGTGCTGGAGTTGCAACAGGAACGGCCAATGCTTTTGCAAGCCATGTTGGTTGTAGCATCGTGGCAAAACAAGCCCAGGCAGATTGCCTTGGAAAAGTTCTATGTGAAGGAACTAGGGTCGAGGTTCTTTAATGGCGAACGTAGCTTGGACATACTCCAGGGGCTATTAGCATATCTTGCATGGTACGTTATCACTTTCATTAAAAAAAACTGTATGCAATTGATCTAATTATCCAGGTATCATTTCAATGTCGCTGAGTCTGGACAATATCATGCTTATCGATTGGCTTCATTGTGTGTGACAATGATCATAGATCTTGGGCTCAACAAGAAGCCCCCACAAGGAATAACACAGCACAATCTGATCCTCAATTCTCAACCAGCAGCGGAACATATGAGAACCCACTCACTTGAATTTTGGAGTCACGAGGCAAGACGGGCGCTGATCGGGGCCTATATCCAGTCAACACTGTATGCCTCATATGTCTGCAATTATTGGGGGCTTATCTACTGACACAAAATTAGATGCGCACTCATGTGCCGAAAACAATTACCAATTACATATTCCACGTATATGGAGCAATGTGCCTTCTCCCTCCAAGAGGATAGCGAGGTGGACACCGACAAGACGCTGATACACTTCATCAAGCTGCTGCGAATTATGAATGAAATCTATAGCATCTTTGAATATGGTGACCCTGACCATAGTCTTTCTATGGGCGATGATAAAGTTCAAATGGTTGTCAAAGCTCTCGAAGGCCAACTCCATTCGTGGCGAGAAAGCCTTCCACCTGACATATCCCAACATGGTGGGTCTTCATTTCCTTTGCGGTCGAAAATAGCGGGCAAAGGGAAGCTGACTTGGAGTTATAAGCGCAACTTAATACGTGGGGTGACTTGGTAGGGGCATACGCCCACGAAATTGGACTTCATGGAAACCTTCGGAATCACCCATTTTCTGGGACCCGGGTTACCATCATGTTCGATTGCCTGGCACATGTGGAAGACTATATGAAACGTGCCTTGGCAATCTCAGCGGAAGACATGCAAACATGGACTGCTTTTGACTGGCGACAGCTTACCTATACAATCATGCTGGCAAGCAAAATCTCGGTATCAATCGATGCAATTGCTTCTGAGAAAGTATCTACAGCATGTATTGCACGGTTGGATTCTTACCTCGGGGTGGTATACACACGAACCCAGGAATTGTTCTCCATGACCAACACACCACAGGAACAGACTCATTACTTCCATCGGTTATTGAATCAGTGGAAAGGTATCCGGGGCTGGTACCAAACAGTACTTCAGAAGAGAACTACCACCCACTTCAACGAACAAACCAGTCAATCCATCGGCGATACACCGGTTCAGCCCTCGCACGATACTCAAACCCAAAGGGCCCCTTTCCAAGTGCCGCAGACTTTGAATTCTTGGCCTGATGATAACTTTGGAATATTACCGATATCGGCCGCTGACTTCATGATGTTTGAATCTCTCGAATACCCATAGGGCTTGTGACGGTTCTCCTAGTCGCATGAACTAATTTATTGAGGGCTATCATTGTCTTCGGGCCTTCTGAGCTAGTCAAGAGGGATATTATGAACTAAAAAGTATTTATAGATGACGCTTAGACTACTGATTATCTTTATCAGCTAATATTATACTCTCAAGTCAGAACCGAGTGCTAAAAGCAGAGGCCGTGCTTATTCTAGCGAGTGTAAAAAAATATATTCATTAAGAAAATCCACCTTTCAGAAGCTTTATGTAATATAAGATACTAAATTTTAGTTAAATGTCTTCAAAATGAGATAACCAAGTTAGTGACTCATAGTAAACATTGTCCCCAGATATTCCCAATTGGGTTTAGCGGATGATCGGTCGCCGGTATTCTACGAGGTGCAGGGGGAAACTTCACTTCGAATTTCTCTGTTTTCTCTCATTTCCAAGCCATTGACCAATCTTCGTTCCTTCAATATGAGTAACCCTAAAGGCGTCGCTGAGAACATGCTCTGGGGAGGCCGCTTCACCCGTGAGTACCACAACCCCTCCCATCCCACCAAAAACCCACTGACTCATACAAACCAACTCCAGAGGGCCTTGATCCCCTCATGGTGCAGTACAACACGTCGCTCCCCTACGATCGTGTTTTCTGGAAGCAGGACATTGCTGGCTCAATTGCCTTCGCCCGCGCCAACACCAAGTCTGGTATCCTCACACCACAAGAGTTCGCCGAGATCGAGCGTGGTTTCAAGCAGATCGCCCAGGAATGGCAAACAAACACTTTCGTGGCTAAGGAGAACGATGAGGATATCCACACCGCCAATGAGCGCCGTCTGGGCGAGATCATCGGCAAGGATATTGGCGGCAAGCTGCACACCGGTCGCTCGCGTAATGAGCAGATCGCCACGGATATGCGCCTCTGGCTCCGCGACGAGCTCCGTTTGATCGAGAGCCACCTCACCGATCTGATTAAGGTCTCCATTGCCCGTGCTGAGAACGATATCACCTATCTCATGCCCGGCTACACCCACTTGCAGAAGGCTCAGCCCGTCCGCTGGTCCCACTGGATCCTGTCACACGCCACTGCCTTCGCTAGTGAGTTGGAGCGCCTGCGTGAGGTTATCCGCCGCGTCAACAAGAGTCCCCTCGGTACCGGTGCCCTTGCCGGTAACTGCTTCAACATTGATCGTGAGGCTATGGCCAAGGAGCTTGGCTTTGATGGTTTGCTGTATAACTCTATGAACGCTGTTGCAGACCGCGATTTCGCTATGGAGACCATGCAGTGGGGCAGCTCGTTCATGCTCAAGATCTCCCGCTGGGCCGAGGATCTGATCATCTACAGCAGTCTGGAGTTCGGTTTTGTCCGTCTCTCGGATGCTTACTCCACTGGATCGTCCCTCATGCCCCAGAAGAAGAACGCAGGTAAGTTCAAATCCCGTTTATGTAATATGAAGCAGCATACTAATATATGTTCCACAATTTAGACAGCCTGGAGCTGCTCCGCGGTAAGTCTGGCCGTGCCTTCGGCCAGATGGCTGGCCTGATGTGCACAATCAAGGGCCTGCCCACTACCTACAACAAGGATCTGCAGGAGAGTGTTGAGCCCATGCTCGACCACGTCAAGACTGTCAGTGACAGCATCCAGATTGCAACCGGTGTGCTCTCTACTCTCACCGTCATCCCCGAGAAGATGATCGCCGCCCTGGCTCCGGAAATGCTGGCTACCGAAATTGCCGACTACCTTGTCCGCAGGGGCGTTCCTTTCCGCGAAGGACACCACATCTCCGGGCGCGTTGTTGCCCTGGCCGAGAACACCAATGTCCCCATGGACACGCTCTCTCTGAAGCAGCTCCAGGAAGTCGACGCCCGCTTCGATGCTGATGTCCAGGCTTGCCTTGACTATGAGCGTGCTGTCGAGCTGAAGGATGCCATTGGTGGAACAAGCAAGCGCGCAGTCCTCGAGCAGACCGCCGTGCTGAAGAACCTGCTGTAAAATCTTTGGGATACGATATATGACAGAAAACAAATGTTAGGCTTTCGGTTAGACAAAAATGAATATATAATTGACTTGTTTAGGTGTCTTCCAAAAATAAGAGTCAGACTATGTAGTGCTAATAAAGGAGGGATATCATACAACATATCTATCGGGCCATCGTTCAAATCTCATCAAAACTCTCAAGTCGGGACTCCAATCCTAACATAGAAATGAACAGCATTAAGCTCCCCTCAAAATAAAGATAAAAACCAGGAACAACCCTTCAAACCCCTCTCGGGCTCATACCCATCGTTCCAGACGGAGACTTGATTTCGCGTCCAAGGGCGCCCTCTTCCGCCTCATAAGCAGGCGGGACATCAGCATCACCCTCCGCAGCCGCAATGTCATCTTCCAAACTGCGCTCCACAGGCCTAGGCCTCGACCTGGAAGCACTGTTCCCGCATACCTGGGGGTTGGAAGAATGGTCACTTATTGCGATTCCAAGCCCGTTCCCCAAGCCCCGATCTTCCGGCTTCCCGCTATACTGCATAAAACTCATAACATGATCTGCCCCGCCGCGCTCAGCCGTCCTTCCCCTTTCCCCCCGGGCCTGGGACTCTCTAATTTCCATGCCATTGGAGTATCGATCCAGATTTGCGCCTAGGACAACTCCCTCGGCAGTGACGAACCGTCCAGCTTGGTTTCTCCCGGGGCTACCACCGCTGCTATTGCTATGGCTGTGGCCGCTGCCGTTGTCGGCTTTTCTTGTTGAATTTGCACGTGAACTAGCTATAGGCGCCAAGACAGGTGATTCCCAAACCCGCGGACTATTTCTCGACTTGGTGTGATTCTGCTGTCGCTGTCGTTGGTCTATGGGTACGTTGATCAGCTCGCTCTGGGAGTGGGAGGCTAGCTCAGCGCGCAGACGATGGAAGCCTGTGTCTGGTAGCTCTGGGGTAAATCCTTGGCGAGGAGGGACTGAAGCGAAGAGCTCATTTGAGTGCGGTTGTGTTGGTGGGACCGGAGGCGTTTTATGGGGAGAGTATGAGACGAGGCTTGTTGAGGATGACCCCAATGCTAGGTCTGGGGTGAGAATCTTGCTTGCTCGCGTGTTATCCGCAGTGAATGGGGAGACGGCGCTCAATGAGTCTATTGTTAATGTAATATCTAGTATTAGTAGAATGTCATTTTGCCTCAATGGCTAGTTTAATATTAGACGTGTTTGTGCTCACTGCGTGTTTCGCTGTCTGATGGTGACAAAGGGCCTTTCATTTCGGATGCAGTTCCTCGATCTTTCCTCAATCCGGATGGGTACCATGAGACGAGAGTTGAACTCTTCTCGCGTTTCCCATATTCTCTCTTGCGTCGACAGCAACAGAAAAGCAGAACAGCGCATAGAACCAAGACCGCAACCCCTCCAACAACACCGCCGATGATTGCGCCCAGGTTTGAGGATGCGGCACTTGGGGTGCTGGATGAGGTACTAGATGCAGACGCACTAGCAGCCAGAACCGAGGACAATACAGTAGCACCTGTAGGCTCTATAGCCGTGGATGTGTCAGAATTTGAAGAAACCTGGGGATGTGAATGTCTCTGGGACTGGGGGTGTCTCCAACCTGCTGATATTGCTGAAGTAATAGAGGCTGTCGAAGAAGCTGCAGATGCTGTCGTAGACGGATCCGTAGATCCCGACAAAGTGGACGTAGAGGAAACGGAGGTGGTTCTCGTCGGTAACACACCGATGACCCCAGCTGTGGTCAACGAGAGTGTGTCATCCTCTCCGTCGTCTGGACAAACGCCCGTCGTACATGGATCAGTTGGGCAGCATCCACGAAAGCTGCCTGCTGAGCAGACATACCACTGCGCAGTCCCAGTGCAAGTATTAAGGTCTCGAGGGACAAGAGGCCCGAGTGACTTGAAAGACTCCGTCTCGAACACCATCCTCAAATATCAAGTCTCATTCACCGAATCCGAAACAACTCAATCAGATCGCAAAACACAGCACTTATGCTAGATAGCACAAGCCTGAACGACTGGAAGCGAAAGATCTCGTCCTTTCAACAAGATTTTAGGATCTGCCAGCAGGAATAACAACAGAGGTCAAATGGGTCATGCCCTGACAGATATTCTTGCAGGAGGCATTGATTAACTTTAGAACGGAGATCACGACCCTGTCCTTGAAAGAAACTGAAAAGGGTCCCTTTGTTAGTGCTGGAGCGGGGTGGCAGTGATATGTCAATTTTAGATCCTTGTTAGAGTGCTAGATCCTGGTATGTCTGTCACGTTTCACCTGCGTAGTGTTGATTTTTCTTTAGCTCGTGGGAGCAGGCCCCTCGGCTCTTTGTCGAGACATAGGTAGTTTGAATAATTCAGTGATTGATGATCGCAGAATCTAGCAAATTAGCAAGAAATCAGTCACAGATCAACCAAGGTTCGAAATGAGACTCGAAGAGACTAGCGTTTGGTTTCTTTGTTGACAGACCAGGGGGTGTACCCCCGGGGATTCTTTAGCCAGTTAGACAAAGAGGGGGAATTTCGATGGGGGACAAGGGGAGAAAATTCCAGAAAAACTACAATAAGGATCTATCAGAGTGCACAGAAAAACATTAAGAAGTAATAAATCAAATCATATGAGACAAACTGAGGGAAAAAGCACTCAGCACACCAACTCTTCGCCTGTTAAGATAAAGGAAAAAAATATGGCTATACAGGATGGTAAATAACACAGTCAACAAAAAAAATGGTCTTTTTCATAGATATTTCCCCTTGAAACGGGGCCTTGTGACGCCACAAGCCCTAGTTCCGCCTCAATACCATGAGGCTGGGAGAGGGCGTCGATAGGGTCCATCTGAAACAACTCCGTGGTATCCTCCGTATTCTCTGCGGGTCGATTCCCAAATAGCGAGCTTAGTAAGTACGCTTGAAAGGAGGGACGGCCTTGCACTCCGACTCATCCAAGGTGTTAGCCTCAACGGCACGGTAGCCTAGCTTGACCTCGCCGTGGGGCTTCTTCTGCCAGGAGAGAGTGTGCTTCATCCAGTTCTCATCGTCACGGTCGGGGTAGTCCTCACGGGCGTGAGCACCACGAGACTCCTTGCGAGCGGCAGCAGAAGCAGCGGTTTGGGTACTGTGAGATTCATGTTAGCAAGCGATCCTAAATCAGTTACTCGGAGTTACGTACGCGCAAGTCAGCAGGTTGCGGAGCTCAAGGGTCTCCACCAAGTCGGAGTTCCAGATCATGCTGCGGTCCTTGGTGCCAACCTGGGCGTACAACTGGTCAACCTTGTTGACCTTCTCGACACCCTCGTCCAAGCTCTCCTGGGTACGGAAGACGCTGACATCGGTCTGCATGGTCCTCTGCATAGCGTTGCGGACTTCGAAGGTCGACTTAGGGCCATCAGCGGTACGGGCGAAGTCGAGGTCCTTGATGGACTGAGCACCAGCATCGGAAGCAAGCTCCTTGTGGGGCTTGCCAGGGGTGGCAGTGTCACGAACACGGTGAGACACAGCACGGCCGAAGACAATCAAATCAAGCAGGGAGTTGGCACCCAGGCGGTTAGCACCGTGGACAGACACACATGCGGCCTCACCGCAGGCGTACAGACCAGGAACGACCTTCTCCTGGCCGTTCTCATCCACATCCAGAACCTCACCAGTGTACTTGGTGGGGATACCACCCATGTTGTAGTGGACGGTGGGCAGGACAGGAATGGGCTGCTTAGTGACATCAACACCGGCGAAAATGGAGGCAGTCTCGGAGATACCGGGCAGACGCTCGTGGAGGAGCTCAGCGGGCAAGTGGCTAAGCTGGAGGTAGATGTGGTCCTTCTCGGGACCGACACCACGGCCCTCGCGGATCTCCAGAGTCATGGAGCGGGAGACAACGTCGCGGGAGGCAAGATCCTTAGCGGTAGGAGCGTAACGCTCCATGAAGCGCTCACCCTCGGAGTTGAGCAGGTAACCACCCTCACCACGGGATCCCTCGGTGATCAAGCAGCCGGCACCGTAGATACCAGTAGGGTGGAACTGGACGAATTCAAGATCCTGGTTAGGGAGACCAGCACGAGCAACCATAGCCATACCGTCACCAGTGCAAGTGTGGGCGGAGGTACAGGAGAAGTAGGCACGTCCGTAACCACCGGTGGCAAGAACAGTGTGGTGGGCCTTGAAGCGGTGCAGAGTACCATCCTCCTGGTTGTAGGCGATGACACCACGGCACTCACCACCCTCCATAATCAGATCGAGGGCGAAGTATTCGATGAAGTAGTTGGTGTTGTGGCGGAGAGATTGTCCGTAGAGCGTGTGCAGAAGAGCGTGACCGGTACGGTCGGCGGCGGCGGCGCAACGGTAAGCCTGACCACCCTTGCCGAAATCCTTGGACTGACCACCGAAAGCACGCTGGTAAATACGTCCATCCTCGGTACGCGAGAAGGGGCAACCGTAGCCTTCAAGCTCGCGAACACTAGCCGGAGCCTCGCGGGTCATGTAGTGAATGGCATCTTGGTCACCAAGCCAATCAGAACCCTTCACGGTATCGTACATGTGCCATCTCCAGTCATCCTCGTGCATGCTGATATCCAGTTAGACTCGATTTGCTACCTTTCAGTGCTTTGAGGGGGGGGAACCTACTTTCCGAGGGCAGCGTTGATACCACCTTGGGCAGCGACAGTGTGACTTCTTGTGGGGAACAGCTTGGAAACACAAGCAGTCTTGAATCCAGCCTCGGCCAGACCGAAAGCAGCGCGCAGACCGGCACCACCGGCACCAACAACGAGGGCATCGTACTCGTGATCCTGCGCGAGTTAGACACAATCAACCTCCTATTCATCTGGAGAGCGGTTCTGTCTTACAATGATAGGGTACTTGTCGGTCAGGTAGCCATTGGACTCCTTAGCGCGCAAAGGCTGGTTGGACCATATCCGGGCTGGCGCAGTAGTAATTAGTGGTGCGTCCGTGAGTTGACAATTCGAGTGCTCCAATGCGTACCTGCGGGCCTTGAAGATGAGAAAAGACGTCTCTGGTCCCTCAAAACGCGGGAAACCTAGAGAGATAGACGTATGAGTATGTCACGAGTGTTGCGAATGAGCCGAAAATCGTTGCATGGCTACTCACCTTGGATGCAGGAGCTAGGCTCCGCAGGCTCATGGAGCTCATGATGGTGGATCAAAAGAGAATTGAGTTTCCCTAATGAACCAAAAGAATCGCAGGACACCGAGGGTCGGTGACGGGCTTAGCAAAGAGGGGAGATTGTGGAATAGCGAACTCCTTCCAGGGTAATACTTTCATCTGGAATCGGGTTACGGTTGGCGCTTTCACGCTGACATAATCATTTCTCGCAGTTGCCGACGGGGAGGACCGGGGCCGAACCAGCCAATCAGCGGCTGCGCAATGAAAATCAACCTCGGGCGGCCGGCCGCCCGTGATTGGTCAGATGGCACGTGTCCACGATTCATTTTGCCGGCCAGCACAAGCAGCCGGAAGGATACGGTAGAGTGTCAGGGAGATTGAAGAGAGCCGCTAGCATGAATTACGGGGTCTTGAAGCTGTATCTGGCTATTCTTTCTGATTTCAGTCCCACTTTTCCTAGTGGAATGATATACAATGGGTAAATGTCGCACTCTTCAATTGCAGTATACATCTAGATCAAGGTGGTCATGTGGAGTCACATGACCGGTGGTGTCCTCACCAATCAGGAAAGTACCTAGCGGAACTACATCGTACGGAGTACTACATTGCTAGTTAAGAGGGGATTTGGCTGAAATTATATTGCATTGACCAGGGAGAAACTCCACGTAACAAGACAATAATGATCGTACATCCCATCCATAATGCAAGTAAGTCGGAATTTCTAGTTGTACTGCATATATGTCGCCGTCGAGTTGAACTTGAGGTTACCCTTAATCACCTTCTCAACAGAGGCCAAGAAGTCCTTCTCGGTAGCCACCTTGCGGCGAGCCCGAATAGCAAACATACCTGCCTCAGTCGCAACACTGCGAAGTTCGGCACCGGTAGCATTGGGGCACAATCGCGAGATCAACTCCCAACGGATGTCTCGCTCGACGGACATGCTCTTGGCATGAATTCGGAGAATGTTGGCACGGCCCTCGACATCCGGCAGCGAGAATTCGATCTTACGATCAATACGACCGGGACGCATCAGGGCAGGGTCAAGTGTGGACGGACGGTTGGTAGCGAACATGACCTTGATGTTACCACGAGAGTCAAATCCATCCAGCTGTGTGATCAGTTCCAGCATGGTTCGCTGCACCTCATTGTCGCCACCAGCACCATCATCGAAACGTGCACCACCAACAGCATCAATTTCGTCGAAGAAAATAATGCATGCCTTCTTGGTACGAGCCATCTCGAACAGTTCACGGACCATCCGAGCACCCTCACCAACGTACTTCTGCACTAGTTCACTACCAATGACACGAATGAAGGTAGCATCCGTTCGGTTAGCGACTGCACGAGCGCAAAGAGTCTTTCCGGTTCCCGGGGGTCCATAGAGCAGAGCACCCTTGGGTGGGTCGATACCGAGATTCACGAAACGTTCTGGCGATAGCAGGGGCATCTCAACGACTTCTCGTAGCTTCTCGATCTGTTCTTTGCATCCGCCAACATCGCCGTAGGTCACATCGGGTTTATCCTCGACAGTCATCATTGTCACGCTGGGGTCGATCTTTGGCGGCAAGGGCAGCATGATCTGGTACTTATTACGGTCGACGCTGCGAAGCCAAGTCAGTAACTAGAAATGACGTATAATCCGCTGAATAGCTTACCCAACTCTCATGCCTTCCTCGATATCTGTCGGACTGACGCGCTCTCCTAGATTGACAACGAACTTTGCAATTTGCTTGACGTTGATCACATATTTGCTCTTGTCCGAGTCCTTCTCATCCTGGATAATCTTTGTGCACCTCGCAACCTGTAGCGGTTGTTCCTCCGCCATGCGTTGTCGATCGGCGGCAACATCCCAAAGGTGTGGAGGCGCAAGACCGGTGTCAGATTCCT